CTGGAGTTTCAGGTCAAATTTAGAAGATGCAATTGCGTTGTGGACATGAGAGGTATCACTCAAATCAGTGGAAACACACGGAAAGGTTGGTACGAATGGGGAATCTTGGCCTTCGGCGCAGGACGAAGAGAGAGCAGTCACAACTAGCCCGATGCCACACATTGCCAACCGTTACCAAGGAGTATTTTTTTTTTCGTGGCGCTGATTGGTCAGATGAGGGGCAGCATTCACTTGTTTTTTTTCTATGGGAAATGCATCTGTTTGTTTACGTTTCGGGTTAAAATGACTTCCTCTGAATCAGTGCAACCTGATCGACCTCATTCTCTCATTATCCGAGGCAAGATGAAGCTACGAGCTCTCACTTCGACGCTTTTCGCAACACTGGTCTTATGGACAGCTTGTACCAACGCAACCATCGATCATGACAAAGTTCTGCCCTTTCCTCAACCCGAGCCGGTCACGATCTCTGAAAAAGCAGCCATCACGTTCCAACCGCAATTATATATTCCTGAAGGCGTGTGCGTATCGTACCCTGCTGTGAATGCTGCAGGTGAGACCATCGGTGGACTCAAGGGTTCGAATGGCAACGACGCGTGCATGTACGCTCCTCTTGGCTCTCAAGTTTACGGTCGAGCTCGCTGGTTCAAAGATCTTTGGGCCAATCCCGATCTGGAGATGCCTAAGATCGTCGGAGTCTCCATGTCCGAGTCCGACACAAAGTACAACAAGCGGCTCAAACTGTTTGCATCCGATTTTGCTGGTTTCCAAACGATGGGCCGGAGGCGCTATCGTACTTACATCTATGGATCCAACACCTCTCTCCGATTCCAATACGGAACGACCCTTGGACATTCATATTTGACCTTTTCCCGTTGGGATGGCGACTACCAGGGCCTGATCATGTGGGAACAACTCACTGATGAGGCTCGTGCTGCTTTAAATGACGGCAACAATTTTGAGAAAGCGGAGGTGCCGTTCAGTGACGAGCATTACGAGGACCACCTAGACGAGGCGTGGCCACTTTAACCCTGAACTGCGATTTACACCAGGCTCTCTAAAGAAGTATCTTTGTTTGTACTGGAAACCGACTAAAAGGACACTTTAAAGAACTAAAAACACAGATAAAAGCAAGCATTTTCACTGAACATTTACAAAATTGCGAAAATATGTCTTCCACCAATGACAGGCGTTGCACTTAACCAGAATGACCAGAATATCCTGTAATCGAAGTCATCGTGCTCTCCGAGCATGTACTCATATCAGACGCTACAGACATTCCGTACATTGGGGGCGAGGCGTTCTTCTTGTACACGAATTGCTCCCGAGCTGCCTCCTGTGTGTCCATTTGGGTCGCCTCTACAACGCACTTGACGCAAAACGTGACCTTGCGCTGGGTTAGACTCAAATCTGGGGCAATAAAGCTTAGCTTCTTGGAAATTTTGCACGAGCTGCATACTGCACCAAAGCAGAGCTTGCAAGTCGCTACTCCACCACCCAGTTTCGACGCCTTGACACCTTTCATACACGTCACACAGAACGGTTTGAAAGCTGGTGTGCCCTTTTCACGAGCTTCTCCTTGCTTCTGCTCCAGCAACCAGGCTAGCTTCTTCATCTGTCCGCAATATGAATATTTTAAACCCGCCATGGTGGCCTGCACCATACCCATTACAGCCATTGCACGGATCATATCACCACCAGGATCCATGATACCAGTTCCGCGACAGTCGGTTCTATCGGGTCCCTCTTGGTGGAAGATACCGCAGAACGACATGTTACCGCGGACTCGGTTCGGTAGTTCGTGGACTTCTGGAAAACTTACAGAGTGGAATAAATGATAGCCCACACGCTCCCCGTTTTGAAGGTGAAGGATACCGGTACTCTCGACGTACACGTAGTCCCGGTTGCGGACGAGACCAATCGATGCGAGCGGGATGTCGATCTCCATCCACTTGACAACTACCGATCGGAACGGGTCGTCTACTGTGGGCTCAACTACCGTGGCGAGTACAGCGGCAGCGTTGAAATCGCTCAAGTACGACGACTTGATTCGCATTGCCTCGATAGTTGGATTGACGATACCGAACATGTTTTCGTCGAGTGTACCAGGGAGCGGCCCCACCATTAGCAGCTGCGGGAGTTTAGTGTTCGGGCTTGAAGACTTGCGCTCAAGGTACGACGTCGTCGGTCCGGACTTGGCGAACTTCTTCCAGCGTTTGAGGTCCACCTGCTTGCCGATGTTGAGATGTTCTTCGTACTCTTCGAACTTGGCCATGATGATCTCATCAGTGATCTCCACCAGCCTGGTACGGTCTTCAGCAGTGAGCGCAAGCTCCCCGAAAGGGTTCAAAATGAAGCGTTGATCGTTCATCGCGCAACTTGATAAGTGATTTGATCAGTGCCGTCAAAAGAACTCGCGGCTTGACGATGGAAGAGGGCAGATCTTGCTTGTGAGCCCATGCATCCACCAGCTGCTGTGATGATTTCCTGAGCTCTTAGTATAAATTGTAAGCATTTGACTTAGTCCTCAGCTGTGAGGCATCCGAAAAACTGCGCTCACGGTGTTCGACAGGTTCTTATGACGACCAGGATCAGAGTGTAACCTTATCTGGGGTCCACATGACGACTAAGTAGTTCCAATTCTGCGCAAACTCAATTGTTACACAAGATGGCGCGGCACCGCCGCGGTGCTGCGCCATCTTGTGTGACCGCGCCGTGCCCATTGTCAGTATTATAGACGAGCAATTCTCTATCGGCTGACTTGAAGCACGAGCTTGTTGATGGTGAATTGATCGCAAGAGTTTGCTGGTAAACGGACACTTCACTTCAACTTGGCTCCTGTGCTGCCTACGTTAACCCTTTAACAGTATCAGTAAACTGGGAAAACTTCATTGTGAGCTACGCTTCAAGCACATTCAAGCGCATTCAAGCACATTCAAGCACAGTCAAGCACCCCAGAAATTGGATATGTATTGACTAGGCGGTGCTATCGTGAGATCTAGTGGAGTTTGTAATGTCGGAGCCTGAGCTCGCATCGGAGGCGACTGAGGAGCCGTACACACTTGGTTGAACGGGTTTCTTGTAGACAAATTGCTGGCGTGCAGCTTCCAGTGTGTCCATGCGTGTTGCTTCCACTAGGCACTTGACACAGAAGTTGACCTTTCGCTGTGCGAGCTCCAGATCTGGAGTGATGAAACTCAGCTTCTTGGAGATCTTACACGTGCCACAAAGTGCTCCAAAGCACAATTTGCACGTGCTGCTCGACTTGCCCATGCTCAACTTTGAGTTTTTGATCAATTTAGAGCACGTCACGCACACAGGCTCAGCTACGGGTGCACCACGTTCTCTTGCTTGGGTGTGTCGCTGCTCCAGTAACCACGCCAACTTCTTCATTTGTCCGCAATACGAGTACTTCAAACCGGCCATTGTGGCCTGCACCATACCCATAACAGCCATCACACGGATCATATCACCACCAGGATCCATGATACCCGTGCCGCGGCAGTCTGTTCTATCGGGTCCCTCTTGGTGGAAGATACCACAGAATGACATGTTACCACGCACTCGGTTCGGTAGCTCATGAGCTTCTGGAAAGTTAACGGAGTGGAATAAATGATAGCCGACTTGTTCGCCATTCTTGAGACGAAGGATGCCTGAACTCTCAACGTAGACATAGTCTCGGTTGCGTACGAGACCTATGGAGGCACCGGGAATGTCGATCTCCATCCACTTTACCACTACCGATCGAAATGGACTCTCTGCGGATGGTTCCACGATCGTTGCAAGTACTGCAGCAGCACTAAAGTCGCTCAGGTACGAGGACTTGATTCGCATGGCTTCGAGAGTCGGACTAACGAGACCGAACATGTTCTCGTCCAGTGTACCCGGCAGTGGACCGACCATGAGCAGTGCAGGTAACTTGGAGTTCGGATTCGAGTTCTTCCGTTCGAGATACGTCGTCGTTGTGCCAGAGTTGGTGAACTTTTTCCAGCGCGTCAGGTCGACCTTCTTGTCAATGTTCAGGTGCTCTTCATATTCCTCGAACTTCGCAAGCACCAGTTCATCAGCGATCGCCACGAGCTTCGCGCGCTCTTCAGCTGACAGCGTCAACTCTCCAAAGGGGTTCATTGTGAAGCGCTTGTTATCCATCTTTACTACGATCTAAAAGCTGTCGCGTAGGTCAGAAAGTGAACGCTTTCACTTCTCGCAAAAGTGACAATTGGTAGAGAGGCTGCAAATCTCTCACGTCGGGGCTGGTGACTTCCTCGCAGGCACCAGCTGCAGAAATCAAACTTCATACGTAAGGCACTAACGTTTGTCAGGATGAGGCAGATGCTAGGACGACTTCCAGGCTATCCATTGCCCCACAATCTTATCCTGTCTGACCTCCTTTAATGTCAATTAATTGTTGTTTTGACAATTATTGGAAAAAGTATTGCGCAACACTGCATATTAATTGGTTTAGATAGATGTAGGCCAAACCTGGAGTAGAGGAATACTCAGGACCTGAAGTTTTTCCTGTCGAAGAAAGATGGAGTGTGGCTGAGTGAAGCAGGTGGTGCAGTTGTGACGGCTGATGAGAATGGATCTCCGCTACACCTTTTTAAAATGGATCCATTGTTTTGTTCAATGACGTCAAATACTTCGGATCTTGGATCGAGTTTTCAACCATACTAGGGCCACGTTCACGTGTTGTAGTGCTTCCACAGCAAGAACGCCCGACCAAGCGCTTCCAGTTTCTCCAGCCGTTTTGACTACATGCAGAGGGGCCTAGTTTGAATTTGCCTCACCTTCCACGCGATGCATTGGTACAGGAATTAAACAACGCCGTACTTGATACCAACATCGTGCTACTTTCTTCACCTCCGGCATCGGGCACGAGTTCGCTACTGATGTGTCTCGTCAACGTCATTTTGAATATCATTGATTTTTTCTTCTGCTTGTTTCCGATGAAATGCCGCGGCGATGGATAACGGATGGCCGTCATATATGCGATTCTCCACGTTCTTGGAGGTCATTCACTATACGCGAGTGCAATGGGCTCGTTTTGCATTGTTTGTTTCCATGGATTCAATTTATGAGCAATTTCATAGGCGCGTTCCAATTGAACAAGAATTATTTGGTGTATTATCTGTCGATGAGCGCGATGACGCGTTGAGTACCCTCATTCTTTCACTTGATGCTCGTTAGTTTCACAGAAACTCAGTCGAATGAACACCTACTGGTTTACGGTGATGAAGACAGCTGACCGCGCAGGACGACAACTCCTTCGCCCTTCAACAGGACACGACCCGGTCCAGCTGTCACAAGGTCCAACGTGATGTATCCTCCACGGACAGGGGTGAATTGCTGTGCTTTGATCGTCGTCTTCTTGAGTATTGGGGCCCAGTACGGTCCAAGACCGCAATGCGCACTGCCAGTGACCGGATCTTCGTTCACGCCAACACCAGGAGCGAAGAACCGGCTTTGAATATCCACGTTCGACCCATTGCCACTGGGCATTTCAGCTGTAACCGCGAAGCCACGTACATCAGTCTTGGCCAGTTGCACAAAGTCCGGCTTGAGCGTGGAGAAGGCCTCAGGCGTCACGCGAACGAGTAGATCCGTGGTAGCTTTCTTCACGTCAACGATGGCATTAGGCTGGACACCCAAAGCAGCAGCCAGCTCATTCAGCACCACACTCGATCCTACAGGCTCAGTAGGCTGCTCCGGGAAGTCCATCAACACGAACAACTTCTGTGTCTCGGTTTGCACCTCAAAGCGACACACCAGCACTCCACTCAGCGTGTGGAAGCGCAGCGTTTGGTTCGTAGTCACGTGACCAGCATCAAGCAACGCAAAAGCCGTCGACAAAGTGGCGTGTCCACACAGCTTCACCTCAGCTCCTAACAGTACATAGTAAACCTGTTAGCACTCATGATCTACTGTTTTATCTCGAATGCGCCATTTACCTGGAGTGAACCACCGCAGGTCGTACTCTACGACGTCGTTAGGAGTCTGGCTAGAGCGTTCACGAGGAGCAGTATACGCTGTCTCACTCAAATTGTTCTCAATAGCCACACGCTGCATCCATTCCGAGACCCCGTCCTTGTGGTATGCAGTAGGTGAGAGCAACACCACAGCCGCCGGATTGCCCTGAAAAGGTTCACTAGAGAATGCGTCCACCTGAAAACCAATAGCAAAAACACTCAATACCACTACTTAAACATTGCATCCACTATTGAATCTCACCTGAATCATCGGTGGTAGTCTCGCTTTCTCGCAGTCCAGTGACAATTCGAACCACGGATCTTGACCATGCACAACCGGCGACAGTCTCGTCACGGAGAACCCGCACTTTACATAGAAACCGACTAAATGGGCCTTGGAGATGAGCATGATGCGCTTTACTTGGGGCTGTGAGTCCAGGATGATGTCCACGTATCGCTTGAGTATCTTCACAGCTAGTCCTCGACGACGGAAAGCCTGATCCACCACCACCGAGTGGATACAAAGCAGCGATCCGTGCGGATCATGGCGACTCATGGACTCGTCATCCAGTTCATCTCTGGCTGTCAATGTGCCGTTGACGAAGCCCACGAGAGTCTCGGATTCTTGGGCATCAGTGGACAGGTAGGCCACCCAGAAGAACGACCCGGCGTTTTTCTGCCGGAATCGAATACCCGACTCAGTAGCCGCTTCGTCGGCGGGATATGAAGCAACCTCCATCGCTGCAACGCGACGGATGTCGTCTTCTTCAGTCAGGAGGGCGAGGCGGAGATGGTTCGTCGATGACATGGTAAAGCGTGGAATGATGAGCTCTCCGCAGATAACTTTTGACAAAAATGACTCTGAAGTAGCAACCATACGGATTTGGAGTTTTGAAATTAGTAAGTTTTAAATGTGTTGTACACATGAGTTGCATATTGAGGGTAGATTAGTATATTTGATTAGATGAGATTTGAGATTAGAGTGAAAAACAAATAGTTTACTCTATCATGATAGTCGTATCAGATTTTTATTGTGATGTATGAGTGTTGGTCATTGTAAATGAAAGTATTAGAACACTGATTCTGTGCCTGTTTCAGAATCCTCACGACTGACAAACTTGATCTCCCCACTTAGCGGATATTCCTTCGAGTCAAAATGCGATGCATTAGAGTATCCAAATCCAGACCCTGAACATCTTCGCCGCTAAAATTTTAGGGCTAGAGTGGCCACGCCTTGTCCAAGTGGTCTTCATAGTGTTCATCACTGAACGGAACCTTCGCTTTCTCAAATTGTTGCCGTCGTTTAAAGCAGCGCGAGCCGGGTCCGTGAGCTGTTCCCACATGATCAAGTCCTGGTACTCGCCATCCCAAACGGCAAAATTCAAATACGGAGAGCTCATCTCCACATGATATTCAAATCGGAGAGACGAGTTGGAACCGTAGATGTAAGTGCGGTGGAATCTCCGACCCTCCGTTCGGTAACCAGCAAAACTGGATGGCCACGTTTTAGTTTCCTTCCTGTAATCCGTGTCGCCCTTGGACATGGAGACTCCTAGAATCTTCGGCATCTCCAAGTCAGGATTGTCGATCCACACAACGACGCTCTTCCAGTCATGGCACCTCGAAGGGAAGTTCATCCAAAAACCTTTCGGGAAGTACCAAGCGTACATGATGGCCCATACATCCTTATACCACCCAGCTCGACCATAGACTTGGGATCCCAACGGAGCATACTTGCATGCGTCGTTGCCGTTCGTCCCTTTGAGGCCTCCAGTGGTTTCACCGGCATCATTCACAGCAGGATACGACACGCACACGCCCTCTGGAATGTACAGCTGTGGCTTGAACTTGATGGCAGCTTTTTCAGAAATTGTGGCCGGTTCGGGTTGAGGAAAGGGTTTGATTTTGTCATGATCGACGGTTGCAATAACACAGGTGACTAGTGCTGCGAAAAGCGTGGCAAGAACTTGTAGGTACATCTCTTCTTGAAAAAAAAAAACGAGAGTGAGCTGAATCGAAGACGCTGCCTGGAATACAATCTAAAACAGAAATATATGAGAATGTCATTTGAGATGAGAGTCCGCATAATACACGAATGTTTACCACGATGATAAAGATACAGGCATCCTCAAGAGGATAGCTCGATGACAGCTTTATAGGTAGAACTTCTACGGTAGAAGTATGAAGTTACTTTATGTACGTAGCTTTCTTTTTATTAAAAAAAAAAAAAGCAAATTTTGTTCATTTAAAAAAAACGTGAGCTTTGTCTAAAACAATTCCATCAGACGCACGTCCAAGTAAAACGTTTTTTTTTTACAAGATACATAAAAGTTTCTTCACGCTCACGCTCTTACTATCATTTACAACCACTTCCTTTAGTCATAGCTTTAGCAAAACTCGCACTACTATTGTCCGTCTACTGTGCCGTCCGAGGATGCGCTCATTTCACTGGTGACGAACGTCTCGCGAGACACCGGTCGGACATTTCGCTTGTAGACAAATTGATGGCACGCAGCTTCCAGCGTATCCAAGCGAGTCGCTTTCATCAAACACTTGACACAGAACGCCACCTTCCTCTGAGTGAGCTCCAGATCCGGCGAGATAAAGCTCAGCTTTTTGTGAACTTTACACGAGCCACACACCGCCTTGAAACACAACTTGCACGTGCTGTCAGTTTTGCCGACTCTTAATTTCGAGGTTTTCGTCGGCTTTGAGCACGTCACGCACACTGGTTTAACGACACGAGCGCTTCGCTCCCGTCGTGCTGCGTGCTTCTGCTCCAGTAGCCAAGCGAGCTTCTTCATCTGACCGCAGTACGAGTACTTTACACCTGCCATCGTGGCTTGAACCATCCCCATCACAGCCACCATCCGGATCATATCACCCTTGGGATCCATAATACCCGTGCCGCGGCAGTCCGTTCGATCCTCTCCTTCTTGACACAAAATAGCGCACAACGACATGTTGCCACGCACTCGATTCGGCAGCTCACGGGTCTGTGGGAAGTTGACGGAGTGCAGCAAGTGATAACCCACGCGATCGCCGTTTTTAAGTTTCGTGAGGCCCGTGCTTTCAACGTAGATGTAGTCGCGGTTGCGAACAACACCAATCGACGCTCCAGGGATGTCGATCTCCATCCATTTCACCACAACCGACCGGAAGGGCTCGTCCACCGTAGGCTCCACAATTGTAGCCAGCACAGCCGCAGCACTGAAGTCATTCAAGTACGACGCCTTGATCCGCATGGCTTCTAGCGTCGGATTGACGAGACCAAACATGTTTTCGTCTAACGTACCAGGCAGTGGACCAGTCATGAGAAGCTCAGGTAAATTGGAGTCCGGGTTCGAGTTCTTTCGCTCGATGTACGTCGTCGCAGCGCCCGAAGTGGAGAATTTCTTCCAGCGCACGAGGTCGATTACCTTGGCGGTTTTTGTATACTCTTCATACGCGTCAAGCTTGGCCTGGACGAGAGTGTCAGCGATGTCCACGAGCTTGGCACGGTCTTCGGACGTGAGCGTTAGCTCTCCGAAGGGATTGACAGTGAAGCGTTTGTTGCTCATTTCGGTGCGCTAGTTAGCGTCGCCGTCGCCGCAGGTTCAGAAGTGAGCTTGGTTTCATTGGTTGCACTTCCAATACTCCACCATAGAGAGGAATTCAAATCGCGCCGTGGTGCCTCCTCCCATTTTCTAACAAACCAACAAGACAACGTGACTGTACAGCTGCGTCAGACGAAGTCTCGGTTGGGAATTTCGACATGAAACTCGAGATAGGCAAAACCAAAGTTTTACGGGCACAAGCGCCTTCGTGGTCAATATTTGCCCAAGCTTTAAGGCAGGGAAGAGCATCTTAAACGGGATACGGTGTCCATGTATTACATGTAAGTGTTTAGTGCTGGCAACAATTCACTGCAACCCATCGAACTCACCAAGTTGTCTCGTGAGCTCTGCTGATAATTTAATTCGTCGGTAAAGAAAAGAGCTGATTGCGTTGCTCGAGTCAAGTTGTTAGTTTATCCAGCGATAGTTTGAAGCTTGTAGCATCCTGTAACTGAGTCGTGGCCCTAAAAAAAGTCGGACTTGATTGTCATCAACTTTCTCGTTCATATAATCGCGATTATTCGCAGCTTGAGCTGTGATATTTTGTCGTTGCTGTACTGGTTGGCGTGCAGAGCTGTAACGAGACCACCGAGGTCGGAACGGTACGTTTGAAAGTCAACTGGACTGATACATTTCATGCAACGGTTGATCAACCATTTCGGCATCGTAAGAACCCAACAGCCGAACGCGAAAACAACTACATGTATGCAAAAATCTTTATAAATGAAAGCTACATGAGAAAACCATCACATCAGAATGTACGGACTCACTCGACTACGTGCTATGTGTACGAAAACATCGTGCTATCTGAGCGTGTACTTTCGTCCGAATACCTACCCGACGACCCGTAGACGCTCGATGTCACCGTGTGCTTGTACACGAACTGTACGCGCGCAGCTTCCTCCGTGTCCATGTGAGTCGCTTCGATCAGACACTTCGCACAGAACGTCACCTTGCGCTGCACCATCTCCAGGTCTGGGGCGATGAAGCTCAATTTCTTAGGGATCTTGCACGACGCACACACGGCACCAAAGCACAGCTTGCACGTACTGCTAGACCTGCCGAACTTACGCTCTTTCACCTTCTTTTGGCAGGTCACACACTCGGGTTTGAACGCCGGAGTGCCATGTTCCCTGGCTTCCGCGTGCTTCTGCTCAAGAAGCCACGCGAGCTTCTTCATCTGACCGCAATACGAATACTTGAGTCCTGCCATAGTGGCTTGGGCCATACCCATAACGCCAAGAACACGGATCATATCACCTCCAGGGTCCATGACGCCGGTACCCCGGCAGTCTGTTTTGTCTGGTGCTTCTTGATGGAACATTCCACAGAACGACATGTTGCCACGTATGCGGTTTGGCAGGTCGTGAGTCTGTGGGAAGCTCACCGAGTGCAGCAAGTGATAGCCTACGCGTTCTCCATTATCGAGACGCATGATACCCGTGCTCTCGAGGTAGATGTAGTCCCGATTCCGAACAAATCCGATTGACGCGCCTGGAATATCGATCTCCATCCACTTGACTACGACCGAACGGAACGGTTCCTCCACAGTCGGCTCCACGATTGTAGCCAGCACGGCCGCGGCGTTAAAGTCCCTTAGATACGACGACTTGATCCGCATCGACTCGAGAGTCGGGCTCACGAGTCCAAACATGTTTTCGTCCAGGGAACCAGGCAGCGGGCCGACCATAAGCAAAGCTGGAAGTTTGGACTCTGGGTTGGACTTCTTGCGCTCTAGATACATCATTGTGTTGCCATCCTTCTGGTACTTTTTCCAGCGGGTTTGGTCGACGTATTTCTGGTTGTTGATGTGCTCTTGGTACTCTGCGAATTTGGCCATGACCAGCTCCTGAGCGATTTCGATGAGCTGCTCTCGGTCCTCCGTGGTCAGGACCAAGTCCGGGAACGGGTTCACAGTGAAGCGACTGCCGCCCGCCATGGTCACTCAAGGAGGCTATCACAAGTGAGGCCGTGAGCGAGTCGATTCCTCGCTGGACGCTGGAGAATTCGCACTGATGAGCTCGTACTGCTCGTTCGCCAGTGCATGCTCGGGAAGAGCGGCAAGGTCCAATCCATCCGACGTGTCCTCATCATGGAGGCACCATCGTCGTGCCGCACGCCATAGAAAACGTCAGTGGTTCTGGAACACAGGGCGGCCCCGTGTCACCGACACTTCAGCACGACCCCGGCAGAAATGCCCATGTGGTGAAGAAACTAGTCACTATCGTGTCATCTGCCCGGCAAAAACAAGTCTCTCGGGCAAAGCAGGACCGCTTGGTTGCGTAGTCGCAGTATCGTGATCATGGCTGCAATTGTCACTCGACAAAGCGCAGAATGAGTTTGTACATGCAGTAATACATGTACACATTGCTTCGAAGTACTTCTGAACGACCAGTGTTAACTTACATGTACAACGTGTTCTTTTTTACTTTGAAATATTTGTTAGTTTACTGGTCATGTACTTGTAGAGTTCGCTCTACTGTTCTCACCGCTAATGACCCGCTTTCAATTAAATCGCATTGCTTGCCCCTCTGGATTCCAGAGCCCGGAATGAACGAACCGTACTATCGTGCAGTACGACCACAATCTCAGCTGGCTTAGGAAGGGTGGATAGTGCACACCACAGCCATGCTTTTAAAACTGAGGCCGACCATCTTTAAAAAAAAAAAAACTATTATAACTTTCAGAATAAAAAACGGCGAACAAATCCTAATCTCGGTTATTTCTTTAAACTTACTAAAATCAAGTGACGCATATTTCATTTAGATATATTCTTTTATTAACCCATATAGGGTAACTTTACAATAAATATTACCCGTGAGTCACGGGCCATGACGAACGTAGACGTATATACCTCATAACCAACCAATACCGAAACGTTAACTATGCCCGGCGCGCGCACTGGTGCCGTCTATCATAGACGGACGCTATGCGGGCTGTGGATCACGAAGCCTTTGCTTTCGCGACAAGGCACCCGAAGTGTTTTAAAAAGCGATTTCGTATCGTTCCACCGCAACATATAGCTGCGCTTGAGTTTTGGTTAGCTTATGGTCAATGGAAAAACGATGCATTAGTACTTATTGTGATATAGGCACTAGGGCAGGGAGAGAGTTTTTTCAAGATCTCCTTGGCATGACGTGCTTGATATGTAAGCGATTTTAGTGTATCAGAGTAACCTTCGTGATGTCTCTTCAGTGAGTTGTTCTCGGTGGAGTGAAGTTCCGACCGTGTTATTGTGCGGTATTGTCACAGCGCACGAAAAAGAATTCTCGTGGCTATTGCTGTCAAACGAGACCATCCATTCCAGGGCTCCAATGCACTATGAAGATTAAACAGCTTGGACGTGCGTCTGATGGAATTGTTTTAGACAAAGCTCACGTTTTTTTTTAAAAAAAATGAACAAAATTTGCCTTTTTTAAATAAAAAGAAAGCTACGTACATAAAGTAACTTCATACTTCTACCGTAGAAGTTCTACCTATAAAGCTGTCATCGAGCTATCCTCTTGAGGATGCCTGTATCTTTATCATCGTGGTAAACATTCGTGTATTATGCGGACTCTCATCTCAAATGACATTCTCATATATGTCTGTTTTAGATTGTATTCCAGGCAGCGTCTTCGATTCAGCTCACTCACGTTTTTTTTTTTCAAGAAGAGATGTACCTACAAGTTCTTGCCACGCTTTTCGCAGCACTAGTCACCTGTGTTATTGCAACCGTCGATCATGACAAAGTCCAGCCCTTTCCTCAACCTGAACCGGTCACAATTTCTGAAAAAGCTGCCATCAAGTTCAAGCCACAGCTGTACATTCCAGAGGGCGTGTGCGTGTCGTATCCTGCTGTGAATGATGCCGGTGAAACCACTGGAGGCCTCAAAGGGACGAACGGCAACGACGCATGCAAGTATGCCCAAGCAGTCCATTCACCGAAGCGCGTATGGTTCCAGTGCCTACGATGCAAGCTTAAGCTCGAACAGCACAGTCAGTTTAGCTTGAAGAAAAGGCTTTAATGCCTTGTCAATCCAAATTGAGCTTACTAAAAACCAACCGTGCACAGTTTACTTACATCAATGGTTTGCTGTCCGAAATTCGGACTCCGAATGTGGTAACCGTTCACCTGACTCATAGAGATTCGACTCGTATCCGGATATGCGTTGTAGTGTCGGACTGCCACTGGCAGTCTGCCACCTGGCAAGCTTCAAGATTTGCTATTGTTACGACCACGCTGTTGACACTGCTCAATAAACTGTGCTCATTCTCCGATTCGAGTGGCAGTTCCGACATCTGCAGAACTGGCTGGGCGGAATGAGCAACAAGCGATTCACGGTGAATCCGTTCGGAGACTTGGCGTTGTCCAGTGAAGACCGCGTCAAGCTTTTAGATATCGTCGACGCTATTGTCCATGCGAAGTTCGAAGAGTACGAAGAATATGTGAACACGAACAAGCGAGTCGACCGTGCTCGCTGGAAAAAATATTCGGCCTCAGGTGCCGCGACGACGTACGTTGAGCGCAAAAACTCGAACCCAGACTCCGATCTGCCTGTGTCACTTATGGTCGGCCCGCTACCTGGAACTCTCGACGAGATCATGTTCGGTCTAGTCAGTCCTACGCTCGAATCGATGCGAATCAAAGCGTCATACCTGAATGACTTCAGTGCTGCTGCTGTTCTTTCGACGATAGTGGAGCCGACTGTGGATAATCCGTTCCGATCCGTGGTAGTCAAGTGGATGGAGATCGATATCCCCGGAGCGGCAGTTGGCTTCGTTAGGAATCGCGATTACGTTTATGTGGAAAGCACCGGCATCCTGCATTTGGCGAACGGAGAGCGTGTGGGTTATCACTTGTTACACTCTGTCAATTTTCCACAAACACATGGGCTACCAAGCAGAATCCGTGGTAATATGTCGCTATGCGCTATATTTCGCCAGGAGGGGCCTGATCGAACAGACTGCCGTGGCACAGGCATCATTGATCCGAGAGGTGATATCATCCGCACGATGGCTTTGTCGGGGATGGTGCATGCCACGATGGCAGGTCTCAAGTATTCATACTGCGGTCAGATGAAGAAACTGGCATGGTTGTTGGAGCAGAGGCACGCCGAGTTAAGAGAGCTTGGAGCTCCCGTCTATAAACCCTTTTGCGTAACCTGCTCAAAGCCCATCAAAAGCTCAAGACTTCGAGGATTCGGCAAACTGAGTTCCACTTGCAAGCTGTGTTTCGGAGCACTGTGCGGGTCATGCAAGATTTCTAAGAGACTGAGCTTCATTGCGCCGGATCTAGAGCTCACGCAGAGGAAAGTGCGCTTTTGTGTAAAGTGCTTGATGGAATCCAATCGCTTGGACACACTGGAAGCTGCTCGACATCAATTCGTCTACGGACAGCCTGCCTTCTCAAGTGCCTATGGCTCGTTAGCCTCATCTTTTATCAGCTCGAGATCTGACAGCGTAGCTAATTCGGCTTGATCGCAACGCTACTTTATGACGTGGAGTTGAATAATTACAGAGTTGCTGGTTATCTGTAAAATTACGAGTTTTGGCTTCGATAGGAAATGAAACTACAAGCTGAGGCTCGAACCTGCATATTTGTTGATTCAAATATATTTTGAAGTGCGTCAAGGGATTTCTTCATTTCGCCGTAAAAAACAATGTACAGCTTGAGATACCTGAATTTACGATTACACTTATCATTTCAACAAGGTCAATTTTACGTTCTCGATATATTCGCTTTCCGTAATTTAAAATAAATTACTGATCAAACCATTTATTTGGGCAAAAAAAATAGTGGGTTCAGAATATTGCGACAATCAGAATATCATTTGCGACAGAATCAGTGATTCACTGATTCTGGCACTCGCCATATTGACACGCCAAGCGCCACAATGGGGAAGAAGGCCAAGCGCACGGCGTCTACGCCCGTGACCCCCACGCCGCTCCAACCGCCGCTCAAGCCGCTGCGCATCGCATCGCCCTCTGTAGCCCTCGACAAACACTCCTGCAACGCTGAGTGCAGCTACGAGTACGACAACCTGCTGGCGCGTAGTCGTCCAGGCGTACGGCCGTTTCCACCTGTCCACGACCTGGAGAGAGGCAACGACGGGAATGATGGTCAATGGCAGGTGCTGCACGCATTGGACGGCGTGTTGTGCTTGGCCACACACCACGTCCTCGAGCTCGTCCAACTTAAGCGCGTAAACTTCGGCTTCCGATGGCGCGATACGAACGTGGAGAGAGACGCAGACGTCCCGCCGCCGAGCTGCATGATGGGGCCGCATTGGCACTTGATGCTGACGACATGGTCGGTATTTTGCTTCCTGTCCTCCATAGTGAACGTATTGACGTTTGAGAAGGCGGGAATAGTGGAATTAGGAGCTGGAGTGATCCTGTCGGGCTTATGTTTGACATGTTATGCGCTGGTGGGGTGCTCTGATCCTGGTATTGTCAGAAGGTGAGAGCAGTGACGAGAATGTGGTGACAATGAGAGGCTGACTAGGTGGTTGTTGCAGAATTGAGATGCCGCCAGACGACACGTACACGTACTGTGACCATTGTGACTCCTACCGGCCGGAAGGGTACGCTGTTGCATTTGTGCGGTCATGAGAGAGCTGATCTCATTTGAGTTTTGTTTTTAGAGCACTGCATTGCATGGACTGTCGGGTGTGTATTGAGGAGTATGATCATCATTGTCCGTGGACGGGCAAGTGTGTGGGCAAGGGCAACATTCGCTATTTCTACTGGTGGCTGCTGTTCCTGGTGCTGGCGTTTGTCTACGAGGTGATCGAGTTCACCACTTATTTGCTGCCCCCGGAGGGTCAAGACCTGTTGGACTCGTCGGACGACTCGCTGGAGATCGTCTTCCCTGCCATCACCCCACATTTGTGACGAGGATTCATCGTGCATGGAGGCAGCCGCGCTGCAGGCTAAAGTGGTGGCGCCGGTGGACAAACTCCAAGCCACCGAGATCAGTCCTTCTCGTCGATGCCGAGTCGACAGGATTTGCATGCAAATGCATGGACCACCAGAATCAGGCATGGACAGGCCGGACAGTATACCGGTATTTCCCGAAATTTGGCGTTCCTCCAACAATATTTTAGCTGAAGCATAGCTTGCTGTCTGGGCGTTATAATGTGTCCATCATTCTTTGATGAGTCCCGAATTGTAAGTTGTAATGAACCATATTTACGTTTATTTTTTATTGACGATCACGGTGTATTCATTGGCGTAATGGACTTGGTGAAGCTGGAAGTCGATGCTGGGACGTTGGTCGGGTCCATCACTGATTTCCTTAACACAAACGACGTTGGTGTCTTCGGCGCCGACAGATACGAGTGCGACAACGCCGACCTTCGCCCTGATTGTGGTGGCCCAGACACTGAAGCCCTAGAGCTCGCTGGAGTCCCCGATGACGGCGGAGTGAGCAGATACCTCCATTTGCTGGCAATTCGTAGCTGCCAGATCAAAAAACCTACGAACGACAGCGACGAGATGCTCAGCGACGTCCCTGTGGACATGTAGAATTGGATCCAGGAGACTGCCCCCAGGTAGAAGAAGAAGGACGCAACCCCGAACAGCATAAACTTGTAGGCGGTCATCTGCTCCTTCTCGCATCTTGTGAGCCACCAGGAGCTGAAGGGCGAGCCCCATTCCAATTGCGTCATGTCGATTGTCCGCACGCTGTCCTCCAATGTATGGGCTGCATAGCGTGTTACTGCCAATTGCAAATTAGTGCACATGACAGCGCAGATGAGCATCGCCACACATACGGCGGTGCCTGAGACCGTGTACAGGAACAGCACGTAGGCGTGCACGTTGTCTGGTACCCCCACGTTGCACATGGCGCTGACGATGAAGCCGCAGAGCAGCGTCGCCTGCTCCGAGACGGTGGACAGCTGCTCAGCACGAGCTTCGCACACCAAGTGCTCGCTCTGCATCTTCTCGCGACGCAG